CCCTCCCACCTCCTCTACTCCGCCCTCCCGTCTCGCCTGTCCCCTTCCCCCCTCTCGCCCCGCGCGTTTTTGTGTTTTTTTTTTCATTGCTTCAAACACATTGGGGCAAAATCTATGTGTTCCAAGTGCGCGACGTGAAAACGTTGATGGTGCCTTAACTAACATTTTTTGGCCGCAGGCTCATTTAGCAGATTCTGCAACGTCTGCGAATTTCGTATGGTTGGTGCGAAATCATCAAAAATGGGGCGCAAATCATCGGCGCCGGTACAAAAATTCTTCTGTTATTCCATTGTTTTTTTTTTTTTGATAAAAAATCTCCCATCAAATGCACTGGTAAAAGAAAGTTTTTGGAAAGCAAATAAAATTGTTTGATAAAGTTTAAAAAAAGAGCGAAGTAGACTTTTTTCTTTTAAAATTTACCGTGAAATAGAAGAATAGAAGGATTTCACTTGAATGTCATGTGTATATGAAGACATTTTATGATGCAATCTGTCTGTGTTTCATCCCTTAGCTGTATACACAAGATGGAACTAGGCATGCGGGAAGGAAGAGGGAATCATCAGTACAGCCTCCTAACCGCAATGTTTTGAATAATCATGGAACTAATTTGCAAGACGGATAAGCGAAACAAAGAGATATAATTTAAGGAGCAAATAAGGTGAGAGAGGAAGGACAGAGGGGGAAGTGAGCACGTGATACGGACATTCATAGTATGTAATTATTAGGAAGAGCTTTTTTATGAGAATAAATTGCTATATTTTTTTTTGGCGGCAGCAGCTGTTTAAAATAGCTTTTTTTTTTGCTTTTTTAGGTTGATGAGCTGGTGATAAATAAGGAAGAAGGCGAGAAAGAGGGCGATGATAGTGAGGAGCTGGATGAAGATGAATATGAAGTGGAACGAATTCTCGATGTTGACGCAGTGGATGGACAAGTGAAATATAAAGTAGCTTCATTTTCCCACAGTTTTTCAAAAACTGTTTAAAAAGGATCGTGTTTAGAAGAAAATGAACGAAAATGGCAGATCTGAGTTAGGAATTAATGTAAATTCGCATTTTTTAATGATTTTTCCACAAAATTCTCATAGTTCTCGTGCTTTTCCTAAAGCTTAATAAGTATTCGGAAAATTTGGTAAGATTTCTGAATTTCCCGAAAATCTGCGCGGAAATATGAATGACATGAAGATATTTTCAGGTGAGATGGAAGGGCTATGGTTCGGGCGAAGATTCCTGGGAACCGGAAGAGAATCTTGAATCGGCACGATTGATCCTGGACGAATATATCGGAAGTCATCAGAATAAAGTGGTAAAAGCGCGAGACACACTCAAAGGACGTAAAAAGAA